AAAAAAAAAAAAAAGCATTCCCCTGGTTATTAAAGTCCCTTTTCATTAAAGTCTTATATGTTTTGTCTTGATGCGGCAGATGGCAGAACCTACTTAAAGCAGGCAGGTTTGGGGGCTCAAGGGTGCCCCTCTCTCCCTGCCCTGTAACACCACAACCTCATCTCTAGCCCTCTGTCACAGTGCCTGGGAATGTGAGGATTATGCCCCCCATTTTTCTAGTAGTGAAACCCAAAGGAGAGATTGAGTGCCTTCCTCAGGGTCACTCTTGCAGAATAAGCAGCAGGGTCAGCATTCAATCTCAGCCTTGCACCTCCAGCCCCCTGGTTCCTTCCACCAAGGGTCTGGGAGAACAGCCCTTGCCTCTTTGCCTGCAAGACCCATCTTAGTGCTGGAGACATGAGGCTCTTTTTCTCTCCTTGGGAAAGGGAAGCTTGGAGCCTGTACCCCAGAACACACTTGTCCAGGCAGATGCAAACACGCACCGCAAACTTGTTCCTGGTTATTTCCGGGGCCCCAGCCAGCCTCCCCCGGATGAATGATGGGCTAGGAGGATGATGGAGGAAGGTGGCCGCCCTGTGCCATGGGAAATGACAGCGGATTGATGATCCTAATGGACAGAGGGAGCAAAGGCCAGGCAGAAACAAAACAAGCCCATCTGACTCCTGGAACTCGCAGCCAGGGAACAGCTCCCACTGATCACTGACTAATCCAATTTCTCTGCAGCTCTCATGCCTCTCAGCTGTCATTTCCACCAGGCCTCCAGTTCAAGAGCCTTGATTCCTGAGCCAACAAAAGACAGAGAGCTGACCCCCTCTCCACTCCTGTGCCCACATCTCCTTCCTCTGTGTTGGGGTTTGTGCACATCCTTTCCATCCTATTGTAACAGGATGGTCCCTAGGAAATGGAGAAGTCCCAGGCTCCCTGCCCCACCCAGAAGGAGGGTGGAGCTGAGCAGAGAAAAGGAACAAAGAGAAGGAATCTGAGAGAAGGAAGCAGGATGGAGAGCCAGAAGGAGACCTGAGGAAGCCACATGGAGCAGGGAGACATGTGAAGACACTGTGCTTGCTTCTGGCCCTGACTGGGTGAAACAGATGTGAGTGAGAGACCCGTGGGGAGGTTGACTATGGCAGCATATTAGTATTAATTTTGGTTGTGCCCTCTTCCTCCCAGACTTGTCTGGCCATTTCTGACCCTTTTTTATAGGTCCTGGCCAGAAGGTGCTTTAGACTTGTGGCGGGCTTGCAGGCTTTGTTTTGGGCCAATCCCTTTTGGGTGGACTTATGCCCATGAGGGGAGGGGTAACTTCAGGTGTTTGATTTAGAAACTATATGCTTTGTCTTCTGTGTTGTATACTCACTGTATTAAAAGTTCTTTTTCATTAAAGTTTTATATATATTTTGTCTTGATACGGCGGATGGCAGAAGCTATTTAGAGCAGGCAGGTTTAGGGGTTCAGGAGTGCCCCTCTCCTGCCCTGTAACACTACAAGGGGTTTTGCTCCAGAACCCTCCCCACTTCTGCGCATGCCCCACCCCAGCATCCACCCCACATTCCTTCTAGCCTGGCTTAGCTGCGAGCTTTTTTTGTTATTGTTTTTGTTTTTATATTTGTTTTTAAAATCCTTGTTTAATATTTCACAACATTGGATTTCTCCCCTCAGGTGCAGTCACCATAATTTTTCCAGCAGCACAGTTCTCTATCATACACCCCCATGCTCTCCAGCTGCCCCTCCCCCCACTCCTCCCCCTTTCTCTACTCTCCCTCCTTTCTTACTCATTCTGCCTCGCCCCTCCTGAGTGTCTCAGATCTACACTCTGCACTTAAGGGTCAGTCTAAGAGTTTGTCTTCGACTGATCCTTTGGTTTTTCTAGATTCCACAAATAAGTGACACCACCCAGAATTTATCTGTTTCCCTCTGGCTTATTTCACTTAGGATAATCCCTTCCAGCTCCATCCATGTTGTCATGAGTTAATCTTTTTTCACTGCTGAGTGGTATTCCACTGTGTATATATCACATCTTCTTGATCCACTCATCTGTCCTGGGGCATTTGCGTTATTTTCATATCTCTGCTATTGTAAATACAGCTAGCAGCAGAATTCTAAATCCTGACTGTAATTGTGTGATCTTGGGTCTGTGCCTTAATCCTGATTCTACAGGATGTAGACTCTGGCTATGACCCAAAGCTGTATGATGGTTGGTATGTTCAACTTCTCTGTGCTTTCATTTCCTCATCCATAAATGGGAATTAAAAACAACTAATGGCATTAAGCCCTTATGGGCTGAAGTGTAACAAGCCCTCCCCCCATTCAGTTGTTGAAGCCCTAACCCCCAGTACTCAGAATGTCTCTCTACTTAGAGATAGACTATTGGGAAGTGATGAAGTTAAAATGAGGCTAGGAGGCTGGTCACAAATCCAGTCTGAGCAGCGTCCTCATATGAAGAGGAGACACCAGGGCTGTGGACACCATGAGACCACCATGCCCATCTTCAAGTCAAGTAGAGAAGCCTCAGAAGAAATTAAACTTAACTGCATTTTGATTTTGGACTTCCAGTCTCCATAGAGGTCACTGTTTAAATCACCCCGTCTTGGTGTATTTTCTTTTGGAGTCCCTAGCAAGCTGAATACCACCTCAGACTTATCTCAAGGATTCAATTAGATGAAATCTAGTTTTTTGTTTTTTAGTATTTTTTATCATTAATATTGTCCCTTCTTTTCTATATTATTATTATTATTACCAGCACTTGGTATTGCAACTTATGAGTGGATAGTTACCAACAGATGTGTGCCCCTCATTTGTGCCAGTGCTTGTGAGGGGTTAAGTTTCTTTAAGAATGAAGTAAGTTTCCTATGGTGATGGCATATGGGTGACTTGGTGATGGGAAACTCACGAGGATTACAATTGAGATTGAAAAAAAAAAAAGTACAAAATGATGTAAAAATAAACTATTATATTTTTTAAAAAGTGCTAAAATGAAAAAAAAAATGAAGTAAGTTTCGGGCCCTCCCTAGTGATGCAGTGGGTTTTAAAGTGCAGCACTAAGAAGCTAAAGCCACTTCAGCATGAGTTTGATCCCCGGCCCTGGAGGCGACCCACATGGCATGGCAGACCTCTCCTCACCCACCCACTGCTCCCCTCAGCAGTGTACTTCGTCGATTTGCCTGTTCTGCTCCCCACTCTGTCTCTGGTAGTGTCTCTCACCACCCCTGTATACCTCGGGCCTATACCCCAGTTCTGTATGCATAAATAAATAAATCTTTTATAAAAATACATTTTAAAAAAAGAGTGAAATAAGTTTCTTGAGGGAAAAAAAGAGTGAAGTTTCTTGAGGGAACAGGTTTCTTGCCTCTGCTTCCAATCTATGCAAGTGCTTCATACAAGAGGCTATCAACAAACAATGTTGATAACTATTATGTTGATAGATATTTAGGATCAAAATAGATATGTTGATAACTATGTTGATAGATATTTAGATCAAAAACAAGACATAGTTGATCCTCAAGAGTGATCAAGGAAGGAAACGTGGATCTGGTCATACCCTTGATATTGAGTGGCTTCCCTTTGCTTTCAAACAACAACAAAGAGGGCTCTGAATGGAGGTGCTGGCTGGAGTCAGCCATCTCAGAGTGACAGCAGATCCCGTCAGCACTCACTGTATGCCTACTACATGCTGGGTGTCATATTAAACATACTGCTGGTGTTTTAGTTTTACAAGTGAGAAAACTGAAGCCCAGGAAGCAACTTGGCTAGGATCACACAGACTTAGGGCTGGAATTCAGATCAGATAGAGTACTGTCCAAACAAATCTGTCAGTAGGACTGAGCTAATGAAACCTGGTAACAGCTGTGGCTTTCCTGGCCCCTTGACTAGTGACTTGGGTGATGGCTGGACTCCCCTCTGTGCTGTGGGTGAGGCATGAACAGAGGAGGCATGCATGGACTCCATCTTGCTCTCCAGCCTTCATGGGCACTGCATCCCACATGCCCTGGACAGGGAACCAGGACAGACCCCAAATGCTAAGAGTACCCACAAGAAGGAGATGCTCTCTGCCTTCCTCTGGACATACTCATTGCTGTTGGTTTAGATAGTAGGGCAAGAAGAGACTTCGCTGCTTTTATGCACAATTACTATGTGCATGAGATGTATCACTTAATGTGAGGTGTTGTCTATCTACAAGAGGCTTTGCAAGGTCTAGAAGAGAAAGTTCAACTCCAAAGGGCCCCAGACCAAATAAACAATTCAGGGAGGAATGGCAAAAAATGAGGAACACTCAAATCCTGTCCCTCTGAGAAAAGGCCAGGGCTGGGGAGAATTTAATGAAGGAAGTTTGTGATGTAGTCTGTTCAAGGAAAATCTGTAAGTCCCACCACAGTGATATGAATGGAAGAGGAGGAAGGTGAGGTGCCTGCCTCTCACAGCCAGGAGAGTAGGGGTGGATGTCCCCTCTAAAGGAGCTGATGCATGGCCGTTAATGCCCAGACACCCAGTCTGTGGGTCTCTGTTTCTAACATGCCACCACCCAGGGCACAGAACTAGAATTTGGGAGGTGGTCGTTTGCACTGCGAAAGGTCTTTCATCATGACATTCACCTCTGAAGAAACATCAGCAGTCCTTTAGAGATAGGCTTTCTCTAGTGCATTTTAATTGTTTGGATTAAGATTTTTATCTGCACCTATCACCCCCACCTGAAGAACGAGCTTCTGTGAGCAGATGCTGCACCTTGTTCTCCTTCACTCCCCTCCACAGGACCCTGCCACCAGAGACACACAAAGCTGGGATGAGTAATGTACTTTTTAGGGATACACCGGTTGCACAAAGCAAGGTGCCATCATAAGCAAGAGCGGCTCGTTCCATTTTCAGATTGCTCCGGCTGAACAAATACACAAACCATCCCCAGTCTTTTCTCTCCCTGCATTTTCAAGCAGTAGGTGGTGCTAATAAAAACACCACCTTGTGTTTGTAGAACACTTTACAGTTTCAAAGCTCTCATCTCCCAGAGTTATTCTTTACTCTCACACTCATTCCAAGCCCTTCCCTTTCCACCTACGCTGCCCTCCTCCCGGCGGTCAGCCCCGTGCCAGCCACTGTTGGGTGAGGCCACGTGCCCCTCCCCTCCCCTCCACTCCAGGAGTCCATGTGTTACGTGAAATGTTTCCTCATCTGGAGTCAGCCGGCCAGAAATGTGGGCAGAGAGCGAAGGGCAGCGTGTTCAGGTTGTTTATTATGTTCTCACAGCCTTGCTTATAGTAAAGGTGAATGACATGATTCCACTTTACACAGTAATGAAACAACTCAATGAGGACTCCATCAGCCAAGCTGTGTCTATGGCAGATGAGTTGCTACGAATCTGTTGTGCACGCCGCGTGACTCAACTAAGGCTACCGAGGTTGGAGTGCACACCCAATCCAGCCACCTTGTCCATGCCTGGCAGAGGGGAGGGACAGAAGGGTCCAAAGAATACAAGAATCAAGAAGGGATCAGCTTAGAGAGAGGATCTGGATGCCAAGCCTGGGAGCCCAGGGTCCCGTGCCGCCATCGTCCATCTAGGGCCACAGCAACTTGTAGAGTCAGAGAGAGGCAGGAAGACATCTGTGCTCTTGACTTTTCCCTACACCATTTCATGCCGAGTGGCACAGCAGCACAGGCTCTCAATGCCAGTGGTGACTGTCTCCTCTTGCTTCTAACCCAGAGGGATGCATATTTAAAGATTGACAAGTTGGCTGACTGGAAGACTATCTCCGACGGGAAAATCATAATTCTTGTGTGTAGCTTGGAAGTGGGCACAAGCAGGGTCAGGAGAGGTCCGGGCACACTTGTTGATGGGAGACCAGCTGCCTTGTAATGTGCCACACATCAACTTTTCCTCCTGGTTCATGGGGAAGCAGACACCACACTCACTGCTGGCCTTCCCTCCCAGCCATTCTCCTTCAGCCTTCCCTGACCTCCCTCCCCCAGCACTCACAAGGGGTTGATGCCTTCCCCTCACAGTCCAGAGCCTGGGGTGCCCAGATACCAGGCCCTGCCAAGGAGAACTGCTCAAAGGCTACACCCAGGGCAGGGCTTAGGCCTGGGCAGAACACACTTAACAGCTTTGGTTGATTCAGAGCAGCGAGTTCTGAGGAGAGCACCAAAAAATAAACTCAACCAGGAACTTTCCGGTTACCCATCCAGGCTGGGATTGAAGAGGAAATGGGGGAAGGGCATAGACCGGGAAACAACTCCCCCATACCATCACCACTACCACCCCATGGTCTTGGGAAAGCCTCCAAGGGCTTGATACTTGTACCAGCGGGAATCTTGAGGTGCGTTACCACAATTATTATGCCCTTACTTGCTTACCTGAGTTCCCACCACATGGCCTTAGGTACAGAGGCACAGCCCACGCCAAAATGACCAAACACAAGAGTGCATGAAAAAAGACAAGCAGGGGGAGTAACCCAGGGGGGAAGCTTGGAGGAAGTGCGAACAAGGCAGCCAGGCCTGGCCAAACATGCCTCCATCAAGTACCTGGTGTTGGTGTTTTCACGGCCATACATGCAGTAGCTGGGGCAAAATAGTAGCAAGTCAGAGCAGAGGCAGCCCACAGAGGCAGACTCCAGAGTGGGCACTTCCTGATTATTGTGCTTGTCTGCCCTGGGCTGCTCTGGCCCCTCTGTGTTTCCAGCCCAGTTGTTCCTCCTTGCTTGTGGGATCAGTGCTTCCTAACTTCACCCGCACTTGTAGAGCTTGACGCCTCCTGTTGCCTGGGGCCCTACCCCTAGAGGTTCTGGGGGAGACACAAAACTGGTTTTTAAAACTCACTCACTCCAGGGTTGACTCCAAGAAGCAGCCAAGGATGTGAGCCAATCTCAGAGAGAACCTTTGGCAAAAAATTATCCGAAGGCCACTACCCACATAGAGGCTTCTCGAAAATGCATTTTTCTGGGCCCCACCCTAGGTTGGTTGGACCAGAGAGTCTAATGAGGATCTGGGAGTCAGCACTTGCGAGAGAATTTCTGAGTAGGCCCTGTTCATGCCAACATTTAGTGGCCATCACTACTCACAGGACCTTCCTTACCCCAGCAGCTACCTGGGGCTAGGAACGGTTGTTATCGACTGTGTCTTATTTGGTTTGCAGAGGGCAACAGGAAATCTCAGACCAGCCCAAACACATTAACACTCAGGTGGGGGTGAAAGGTCACTCAGGAATGGAGAGCAAATATAAAGGTCATAGCTCAGTCCCTCAGAAGCCACTGCTCTGACTTGCCTTGAGCCTTTCCAGGGCCCAGGACCAAAGCCCAGAAGGCAGCTTACCACACAAACCCAGCATTAGGAGCAAAGGAAGACAGGACAGCATAGGAGAGGCGCATGAGGGCTCGTGGAAGAAGAAGCAGGAGGGAGGGCAGGACTGGGAGCCACGGAGGTCAGGGATGAGGTATGTTTGGCTATTGCTCTAGATGTTGTAAACATTTCTCTTTGTTTCATCACAGACCACAATCTGGGTTGGCACAGCCAAAGTGCCAAAGTCGGCCTCAGAGCAGAGAGCTCTGTGCCTTTGTGGGAAGCAGGACATCAAGGGTGTGAGGAGAGCCCCACCCCAAGGGAAGACCGTCTGCGGTGTGCTAGTGGAATGCTCACGGTTAACACACACACACACACACACACACACACACACTCCACAGGAGTACCGCAAATATAGCTATCACACTCCTCTACGCACGGATACTTGCCCACGTACCTTCACTTAGTGGCAACATTCAGGATACTCAGCTTGACCTTCACGTTCCCCGTGGTGGGAGGAAGTCGCCAGACATTGTGCTACTGCCGTCTGCGGCCTTCATTCCACCACTTGTTGGCAAAAACTCTAGGTCCCAGATGAGGCTACCACACAACACCCTTGTTCAGACTCTTCTCCTGGGGACAGTGGAAGTGACAAAAAGGCCCCTCTAGAACATTCCCTATTTTTGTAACTGTGCTGTTCCAATTTTTATGCATTTTATATTCAAAAGAGTTGGCAGCACATTCACATTTCTCATGTAAACAATGTTTAAAATACCCTGTTTGAGAATTTGATCATTAAATGAATTCTGGCAGCTTTAGCTAAGAATGGTTTTTTGACAGTGGGGGCAGGAAAATACTACCCGATCTAACCAGAAATACCCACTTGAGGCTACAGAGTTCTTGAACATGAAATTTTGCAGCTCTCTTCAAAGGGAGGACTAAAAGGCATGTGTTTTTTCTCTCCTGATGGTTCATAATGACACGCCAACCCTCCCTCATAGATGCAACACGCAGAACAGTACATCCTAAAGCCACTGGGATTGAGAGCCTTCTTGACCTTACCTAGCCATAGCTAAGGAAGGAAGAGACTCTCGACATTATTGGACGAGAACACAAACACTGGGGCCTACCACATCTAAAGAGGCCCAGCCACCCCCAGCCCCCGAGAGGACAGTGCTTCAGCTGGGTCTCCATCCCCTGCACTCTAGTGCTTATGGCTAATCAGGTGCTGTTTCATTTAGTTAAGCTGGAGGTGCTGGAGACCTACAGCAAATCCAAGTCCATGGATGAGTTGGGAATTACCCTTGGTGCTGCCATCATGCTCTCTTGATTTCACTTCATCTGGAGAGTAGCCTCTCCCAGGCTGCCCCTTCCACTTTCAGTCTTCTTGCCAAGGATCCATCTCCTTGGCTTTGCAATTTTGGTCCAAAGACAGCTCCTTCCCTGGGCAGCTAAAGTAGGTTCCATGTGTCTCACTCAGCCTCCAAAGGAGTTTTCCAACATATTTCCAAGAGCAGTCCCAGTGTCCCCTGGAAGCGTCTCAGGAAGGTTCTCCACATCCAGATATACATAGCGCTCTTCTTAGCCTCACCTTCTGTTGCATGTTCAATCCCAAAAGGCCAAAGTTCAAGAAAGAAGCTGCTTAATAGGTAGCCCTCCTTAGAGGAACCTTTCTAAGAAAGCATCTCCCAGGAAGCAAGCTGGAAGGAGTGACAGCCTAGGCTCCTGTTCTCCCCCATCGCACCTACATGACCTGCATGTAGGGGTGATGGGCAGAGACAGGGAAAGTAGTAGGCACTGTGGGAACTGTCCAGTCTAGGGGGACTTACCTCCCTTTGCCAAGCTGGCTCATTCTAAGTAATCAGTGATACATGGCATTAGAGTGGCAAGGGCAGAGGATATATTAAGCAACAAGAAGGTTCTGTGGAGCCCCATTGCACAAAAATCTACTGACACTACATTCCTGGTCTTTCGGCTTTTGGAAAACTTGGCAGAATTGAGGAAGATTTGCAAGCTGTGTTTTCCCTAATAGCAGCTTCATATCAGAAGTCAAGAGGGACATCGCCCAAGACCCTTTCCAGAATTGCAAGGGTAGGGGAGTCTCATGAATTTCTTAGGCTAAGAAGGGCAGTGGTCACAGCTTTTCACACTGGATCGGTAGAAATGAAAGAAACAGTCAACTCCATGGAGCTGGCCCCCACCCCAAGGCCCCCTGTCAATAACAGTGCTGGAAACCTAGGGTTCCACAGAGACCTCTCTGTTAAACAGTAGGGCCCAGCACCTAGGACTGGCCGTTATATTATGACAGTAAATCACAAATGTGAGCCAGGATCTTCTAACTGCTCCTCATAAGGATATAGGACCATTCCTACTGAGGAAGGTATGGGAATGGTGGAATTGCGTTTGCATTATTTACAAATTGGCCCAGCATAGCAAATCTGCCTTCTCAGTGGAGACGACCCAAGGCATTCATGGAGGACAAGTGGCTGACCCAGAGATGGTAGACAGTAGCAAGGCGCTACCACTAACTATACACAAACATGGGTACGTGGAACAGGGTCCAAGCTCTGGTGCAGGATCGTACTTTGGAACGGCCCCTCACCCCTTCCTCACTCCCAGCCTCCCAACCTAAACGCCTTTGCTTTTGAACACTTAAGACATTTCACATTAGAATATGGTCTTGGCAGCAAGGGATAGGGAAAAGCCGATGATCTCCAAGAGTCTCCATCTGAGGTCTAACTGAGCCGCCTCTGGCTTTGGGACAGCAGATCTAAGTACATTTTGGACCTCAAGAACCGGGGATAAGAGTCTTTCTCCATGAGGCTGTGTACTTTTCCCTGGGCTTGGTCAAAGCAAGTCAGGGATGGTTCTTGCATGTTCTTCCTCGTGGCTTCTCGGGTCTGGAAGTCTATGTTTACCTAAAGACACAAGCAGAGAGGATGGTCATAGACCTTCGAGGCCACGGCACCCGGCAATTGGTCCTCACTGTGTAATAATTATACTGACAGCATCTTATTTATGCCAGGTTATTCAAGCTTTTCAAACTGCTTCCATGAAGTCATCCCTTTTGATCATAATAAGGATCAGGGAGGTCTGAAGACCAGGTAAGTTTTGTCGCAATTTATAGATAAAGGTCCTGAAGAAAATAGATACTAAAAAGCTGGTCTCAAGTAATATGGAAAGTTAGTAAGAGAACCAACGCAAAACCCCACATCATTCCACTCCTAGTCCAGGGGTCTTCACCATGTCAAGCAGGGGATTAGGTTAGTGACAAGAGAATGTGAGTTTCCACATGTAAAGTTGGCCTCTTGTCCTTTTTTAACCACTAAGGAAACAAATGCACTGGGGAGAAAGAAAGTACATCTCTGTTCCAACCAGTGTTGTATTTAGCCCGCAGATTCCAGTAGCCAGAGAGCCTGTAGTCAAGCCAAAGCTTAAATGCAGATCTCTAGGTCTGGTATGACCCTAAACCCACAGATCACAGAATTTTTTCTTCCATTAATACTTTCTAAGTAAAATTCTATTTTATAACTCAGGACAGCAGTACATAGAAATTCACTATGTATTAGAAGTAATAATAACCCACTATCATAAAATAGTATAAATGACCATAATTACTCTTTAATAGGCAGTGATGGATTTCCAGTAGGAGCTTTATCTCTAATACTCAGTAGTTTGGAAAGGTAGGTGATATTATTACCCTTTTACACTGGATATGAAATGTGGGTAGCTAGTGAGTGGTGGAGCTGAGACTGGAACAAGACTCCAAAGGAGATGCTCGTTCTGCTAAGCTGTGCTGCCTTCCACTGGGAAAACTAACATGGACTCAGGAGCCTCTCCCCTTGCAGACTTCTGACAGACAGTACAGCTCCTTTTATAAAAATCTGGGACTCTAAACCTGAAAAGTGATCCCTTTTTCATTAAGGGCCATCAGAGTCGTCAGTCTCAGTTCAGAAGCCTCCATCAAACCTGGGCCAAATTCCCATGAAGGAGAGAGATATGAGTCGGAAGCCACGGACAGAAGAATGCCAACTGCTCGCCACCACCAACACACCTCCCTCGGAGCCTGCACATCCACAAACTCCTCGAAGATTCTATGGGCCTTGGAGACCAGTTTCGCAGTTGACCTGGTCTTCTTAAACTCCTCACAGGCCAACCAGAATTCCAGGTTCTCCTCACTGAACTCCGTCTTCAAGAAGGCTCGGAATGCAGCCACCCCATCTGTGGAGGTGGAGGGAGGTGGAGAGGAAGAGAGATAGGAAGACACTTAATCTCAAGAACTGCAAGAGAAAAAAG